GTAAGCAAGATCACCCAGAGCACTGGGGAGATGCTTACTGTGGATGGCCAGCCCTTCTCCCTACTTGAGCGGCCAGGGTTCAGGTGGCTCATGGCACTTGTGGCCCCATCATATCAAGTGTCTGCATGCACCACCTTCAGCCCTCCCTGTATGACGCATGCAGAGAGTACTTGAGGGAAGAGCTGCACAAGGCAGGTACGCAGGTGGCCTTACAGTTCACCTCTGACATCTGAAGCAGCCAGGGTGGAGATCGTCTATACCTCTCCTTCAAAGGGCACAGTCAGGTCATCGGTGGGCACTCCTTCAAGCTGAGGTGATGAATGAGTTCCACATGGCAACAGAGATCATGGGGACCATGAACTGCTTGGTGCAGGGGTGGCTCATTATGCAAGGCAAGCTCACCCACGGGCTCATGGTCACCAACAATGGGGCCAATATGGTTGGTGGTCCATGATGCCAACTTTGTTGGCATCCGCTGTGTGGCACACAAGTTCCACCTTGTAGTCAGGGATGCCTTGGAGGGGGACAGGGCTGCCAGTGATGGTGCCACCACTACCACTTTGAGCCAGCTCATTTCAAAATGCAGGGAGGTGGTGGGCTACTTTCACTGCAGCATCCAGGGGGGCAAGTAGAGCTGAACATGCCAGAGCACAAAATCATACAGGTTGTGGAGACTCGTGGAACTCCCACATACCTGATGCTCGAAGGGTTGGTGGAGCAATAGAAGGCCATCCATGAGATGGCCTTGCTCAGGGAGATTGGGATCAGTGGTCCCCTTAACAGAGCTGAGTGGGTTACCATCTCCCAGATTTTCCAAGACCCTCAGCACTGGTGATGCCCTCCTTAGTCTGGTGATCCCTGTAGTGAGGGAACTTCAAAACCAAATGGAGAACTTCCAAGGAATCAATGTTCATGGCTGGGGCAAGCCACTATCACCAGATGTGCAGGCACTGGTGAGGAGGCTGAAGGAAGGCATCAGGAAATGGCTTGATCCCTTGTGGACCAGTACAGTCCACGTCCTGGCTGCCATGTGTGACCCGAGGGTGCAGGGCAACATTTGCAGCAGCCAAACCCTGAATCTGTGGATGGAGGAAATGGTAAAGAGAGTCAGGGAGGCAGAATGGCGGAGGCAGGGGGACGTGGAAGAAGGAGATCCACTGACCCATGCTAGCATGCCATCCACCAGCCAGTCTCCTCCTCTACCACAGGTACTGCCAATGTGGGCCAAGGGCATGGCTTCCATGGTGGGGTTCAGAGGCATCAGGCAGGTAGCACTTAGGCGTTGGTGGCTTCCTATCTCACCGAGGATGTGGAGCCGCTGCTGTGTGACCTCTTGGCCTATTGGGCAAGCTGCAGCCAGATGTGGTCGGATCTGGCCACAGTTGCCCAGGAACACCTGTCCTGTCCACCGACAAGTGTTTCAAGTGAGAGGGTGTTCAGAATTTCTGGGGATGTAGTGACACCCCACCACACCTGCTTAGATCCTGATTTGGTAGAGCAGCTAGTGTTCCTGAAGGTGAACCTCCTGCTGCTGGGTTTCCCCAAGCTCCAGGTGCAGATGAAATGAATGCCACCCTCTTCACTCTGTCTGCACCTATTTCCTTTTTTCATTTTTTAAAACCATTTAATACCCTGCTTTCAAAGCTGGAGGGGAACTCACTGCATCACCAACTAGAAGGGGAAGAACATGTACCTGCTGAGCTCCCATACCAGATGAACTTGGAGCTATGGGATTGGGCTATGGGGAAGGAAGAGGCTCCAGGTCCTGTGCATGACCACTAAAACTACACTCTGCCAGGGTCAGGAGGTCTTGTGGGACTGTTGGTAGAATGGCAACCCCGGGAAATGCCAGAACCAAGGATCCCCTAGTGAAAGGCAGGTAGGAGGTGCCATAATTTCCAGCCACCACACGCACATACACAGTCCTGGCTGGGGAAAACAGTTCATAGACTCATCTGTGAAAAGTGGTTTGTAAATTCCCACTGAAGATCAGGCCTGAGAGATTGGAGACAGGTGGTGTTTTGTTGTTGTTTTTGATAGATTTTCAGTGTGAGTTCGTTCTGGTGTGCAGTTGTTGCTTGGTGTCTCCACGTATGTTTCATCAGGGCATTTGGTGCCCTGATGGAGATATGTATTGTATTGTGAAGATATCTCCATACTGGAGATATTATTGGCAGGTTTTGCGTGTCTTGTCATGGCATGGCCTGGATCTATTTGATGTGTTTTGGGCTGTAAGACGTTGGCTTCTGGTGATAAGATTAGCGAGGTTCAGTGGTTGTTTGAATTTACAAACCACTTTTCACAGACAAGTCTATGAACTGGACTTCATCAGCCTCCTAGGTACAGAAACTCATGGATTCAATATAGACATTGGGATTCTGATACACTACAACCTGCCGGACATCTGACTCCCCAGGTACCTCACCACTTTTACCTGTGCTGATACATTCCCCTTCCCTCCCCTCACCCCAGCCTGTCCCTCACCCCCCAATGCTCTCCATTTCCATTTTCACTGACTGACTGGCTTTCTTGCCTGCATTGCATGCCAGCCTCTGGCTTCTTTACTATTCCTTCCATCCAGGAACAGCATACACACAGACCAACTACAGGTGCGTCCTCAGCGTGACAAAGGGTTTTTCAACCCGAAACCTTGCTAAGATATATTTCTGTAACTATTCAGTTGGTCTACTAAAAGATACCAGATTAATTAGACCCAAAGAACCTTGTCTGCCAGTGCCATGTCCTTAGACCAACACCCTTAGCACCTGACCAGGAGGATGCAGGGCTCTAGGCACATATAAGCCTCAGGGCTGGGGCTAGCAGGGAGACTTCTCTGGCAGCTGCTGGAGAAGAAGCTCCTGCAGGACAGGAAAGAAAGGCTCTGTGACAGTTTGGCTGCCTGAGATGCTGCTGGTGCTACTGTGCTGCTTACTAAGTTATACCTGTTGTCATCTAAAGTGGTGGATGAGATGTGGCTGTAGGGGAGGAGGAGACCTCATTGAGGCACACTACTGTGTTGTGGCCCCAGCACCAGTGAGGCAGCGCCTTAACACACACAAAAAGTCATACATGTCACGAGTCTTGGTTGTCAGCAGCCTGAGGTGCAGTTTCCCAGAAGCCCCTGCGCCTATCTCCTTGAAACCTGCCAGGCTTCATGGTCTCAGTATGGGCTACCATGTCTGCAGTTTTCACCTGTGCCTTCACACTTACAAATGACATGAGTTTTGCTTTCAAGACTTTGAGGTGCAGTTTCACAAAAACCCCTGCACCTATGTCTGTGAAGCTTGGCAGGCTTCAGGCCCTCAGAAAGAGTTACCATCCCTGCTGTTTTCATTTGAATCATGCAAGAAATGACAAAGTTATAGGCAGTTTCATGCTTCCCCATTATAGCCTATGGGCAAAACAGCGAAACAGTTTTGACTAAACTAAATGGAACAGTGCTTTTGAAATGAAATAAAACTCAAAACATAACACTGTCCTGTCAAAATGGTGAAACAGAAGTCAAAACAAAACGGTGCTGTTTCACACAGCCTTATATATATGCTTTGTGGAGAGACCAGGACCATAATCAAGTGCCTTTGCAGTTTAGATAATTCTAATGATTTTGTTTACACTTTTCCCATAGAGATTTGCTTTAAATAGATTGATAAAATATTACTGAATTAATGCTGATTCAGCTGCATTACTTACCAGAACTCTTTATATTGCTTTTCCCTCTAGGCTAGGGACAGACGTTACACATACAACTGGTTTAAGTAATCAAAAACTGGTTTAATCCTGTAACAGAACAGATGTTCAGTGCACATAAACCAGTTTCAAAATGAGTGAAACTGGTTTCAGATAAACTTGGTTGAATGTAGTATCAGACTTAACTGATTTGGGTCAAACCGGTTTATGAAACTTCTGTCCCAGATCCCGTCTGTCCTAGTTCAAATTAAATCATAGTCTCCCAGCATCCCAACATGCTTTTCATGCTGTGAAAAGTTCATGTTCATGCTTTTAACATGCTGGGCTGTGCTGTCTGCTCCAGCAGAGAAGGGTTGGGGCAATCTCTGCTTTCCCTCCGTCCCTCCACAAGGCAAACCCTGACTGGGGTCTCTGGCCAGGAAGGGAGGTTAAACTTCCATCCCTTTGAGTACAGAGCTGCCTTGGCCCAACCCGATAAAAACTTAATGTGAACTACAAATCTCAGAGGTACGTGAAAGCAGAAAGAAGTGATGACTAACTTTGTAGAGTCCTGCTGCTGTAATTCTGGACTGCAAATCCCAGAAACCTTGGGTGCAGCAGGAAGAGGAAGCAAACACACAGCCCATGCTGGCTATGTGCCAGAGAGCTCTGCTCTAGCACCCCCTGGCTTCTGGACTGAACCACTGCAGGCATGTGGCTGCATTTCCTGACTCAAAAGTGAATGTCTGTCCAGTTGTATCTCAGTTTAATCTCTGAAGATTAGACTAACCTACAAAGACTGAATCGATTCAGCCTTGGGCTTTTTGACTGTCTACTTAGCCTGAGTATCTAGTCTGCATATGGAATAACAGCCAACTACTTCACAGTATTAAAATAACTTCTTCTGTACAGGTAGAAGGGGTCTGAGCTTGCTGAAGGTCTGGGAGAGTCAAGTCTGCTGACCACTCAAGCTAAGGCCCGAAACGCAAACTTCTTACTTAAAACAAGGGCATATGTTATACTTCAAGAACAGTCAGGGCTGTCCATAGTGGGGAAAACTGGGGTGACTGCCCCAGGCCATGCACTTTGTGGGGCCCCAGGCCAGGCAGAGCAGCTATGGTGACTCGGTGCTGCACCACCAGCTGCTCGGCACCACCAGCTGCTTGGCACCTCCCCCTGCTGCTGAATCCACCGCTGCTTCTTCACATCTGGGGTGTGCAAGGGCAGGGCCCCACACAGGCTGATTTGCCCTGGGCCCTGTACCCCACTTGGGTCATCTCTGAGAACAGTTATTTAAAAACTAGACAATTTACTATAGTTTTCTTTTTTTCCAGTGAATTCTTCATGCCAGGATTGGTTGATGCACATATCCATGCACCTCAATATTCATTTACTGGTACAAGAGTAGATCTACCTCTTTTGGAGTGGTTAAAAACCTACACATTCCCAACAGAAGCCAAATTCAAAGATAATGACTATGCTGAAGAAGTGTACACAAGAGTTGTAGTAAGTACAGCAAATGTCTTCTGCCTACTTTTCTATGATAAATGCATATTTTACAAAATGTTTTTGCTTTCAAAAGCTAATATTACAATTGAGCAACAAATAAAATATTATCAAGGGAACTGAATAAACTGGGAATACCAAAATTATTCAAGATTATTCCCTTTATAATTTTGGTCTGCAAATGAGTTGATACCATGTAATGACTGGCTGAATCTGCAATGTATCTGATCAGTATAGATCTAACAGTGTCAGGACATCAGAAGAGATGCCTAATCTTCATCTGTCACAAGGAGAAGAAAGTCTACTAATGTCACCAGAGCAGTTTTTAGCCTTTACTCAGGTCTTTGCTCTAATTGATAAATACAAGACTGAAGAATCCTGCTATTTTGGGTGTTGTCCTGCCAGTTTCACTATGGCCTTAATCAAAAATGAAAGATTCAACACTGCATTATCAGTATCACATGTCAGTTTATGAAACAAAGGCCTCATTGGCTGCATCCAAATGAGCATGGATGCGTTTCCCCAGGGACAAGTAGCAGCGGCACACCTTGTGCCGCTGCTACTTGTCCCTGGGGAATGCCCATGCTATGTGTACACTGGCATGGGCATTCCCCAGGGACAAGTAGCAGATTACCCTCAGTGGGGCTGGGGAGGCTGGGGCCAGCAACTGTGTTGGTCCCAGCAATTTTGCTTGGGGTCTTGGGGGCCTCAGGGAGCTGCAGCCACAGTGCTCCTGCATCTGGGAGCCTGGCCAGCAGCTGGAACATAGCTTCGGCTGGCCAGGCTCTGGTTTTGGGCAGCATGCCTTGCCACCACATGCACCACCCTGCTTTTTTTTGGCATGGGTTTTTTTAACCCCCAGATTTCCTGGGGTTCAAAAACGCCCCCGTGCTACAAGGCAGCAGTGTGAGGAATGCTGTGGGGTATGTGGCACTGCAGATGGGTCTGCAACGTCACATACTGCGTGGCTGCACTCATCCGGATGCGGCCACAATGGCTTACTTAAGAGGTCCCTGCTCCCTACAGTAACTATTTATAATTACCTTGGGGTTCACCAGCCAGAGAGGTAACAGATTCAAAGAACATGTTACTCAATGAAGGAATCTATTCATAGTTTAGATTAAATATATTTATCAGCCTGAGAAATAAATGTGAACATTATAAACAGCTATAAACAGCTCAGTAAAAATCTCTGCTGAATGTGCAGCTGTATTAAAAAATCTTAGGGAAATGTTAGGATGTAGGATGATTTTTTTTAAAGTAATGTGCAGTCTCATCTGGATTACTGACTATAATATTTCTAATTTATCTCAGAAAGAATACTGCAGGAAGGGATTCAGAGAAAAGTAACAAAGAGTATGAGAATCAAGGGCACCTATACACGTGCAGCAGGACTGCTCAGATGTACTGTAATTACACCATGTCGGAGCAGACTTGATTAACTGAGTCTGCTGGAGCATGGTAATTACCGTGCTCTAGCAGACTTCAATACCTTGTGTATCAATGTCCTTGCACTGAAAAATGGCAGCGGGAGTACCTTAAAGCTTATTGAACAAGCTTTAGTGCCCCCACCGCCATTTTTCAGCCCAGGGATACTGATACATGAGATGCTCCAGGCACTTTAATTAGAGTGGCTCTTGGAGC